CAAACAAAGATATTGCGAGATAGTTTCTCACTTCAATTTGTTGTGTGATTTGAATACTTTTTTTTTGTCAATAAATTTCCCAAATATTTAATATGGTTGGCTTAATTATATTTTTTAAAAACAATTATTATTATTATTATTATTATTATTATTATTATTATTATTATTATTATTATTATTATTATTATTATTATTATTATTATTATTATATACCCTTAGGTCATTTTACATGTTAATCTAAACAGCTAATTTTTTAAATATCTTTTTACCAACTGTTGATATAATTCGCTGGTCAAATTCGCTAATATAATCCGCTAGCGCTAACCGCTAACTCCTGATTGTCAAACAAGGACATTGCGAGGTAGTTCTCACTTTAATTTGTTGTGTGATTTGAATACTCTCTTTGTCAACAATCCCTAAGTAGTTAATATGATTGACTTTATTAATTGTATTTTTTTAATTTTTTCATTGGTATTAATAAAATACTTGGTAAATAAATATATATCATTATTTTGTATTATAACTTTTATATTTAATTAAAAAATAGTGCACAAAAAAGATAATAGACAATGAAGTGAATATAATCAATTGATGAATTTGAATGTAAAGAATTTTTACATTGGAGAAATATAAAGACAATATAACTAATAAAATTATTTCTCTTAATTAATTTATTGATAATGAATATTTTTTTTAATAAAGACACTGTAGGGACAATGTAGCGAATATAATCAATTGATGAATTTGAATGTAAAGAATTTTTATATTGGAGAAAAATAAATACAATATAACTAATGAAATTATTTCTCTTATTTAATTTATTGATAATGAATAATTTTTTTTTTTTGAATAAAGACATTGTAGACACATAATTCTAAATTAAAGAAATGCATATGTATTATTTTTTGTTGTAGCTACTAAATTATTATTTAATTTAAGGGAAAATGACACTTTTTCCCCTGTGTTATATACCTATAACATTTTTCCCCCTAAATTATTGAAGTGGCTGTTTTTTCCCCTGAAATGTTAAATGGACATATTTACCCTTAAACTAAATATTTAATTTATTTTTTTTCTCCAACAAATTATGACCATAATTTGGATCAAACCAAACAAACACTATAGCAACCAAACCGAAATATTCCAATTACAATTTAGAATCGAAATTCGATATTTAGAGTTTATTAAAATCGTGAACCGGATCGGACGGTTCATGTTCCGAACTGAAAACATAAAATACATTTATTGTTGAATTTATACTATTTTAAAATAAAAAATAAGATTTTAAAATAAAGATGGTTCAAAATCGCGAATCGAATCCGGAACCGCCGGTTCACGGTTCAAGATTCAATTTTTTTGATACATAATTTTAATAAATTGACATTTAAATATTGGGTTCTAGATTTGAATTATAACCGAAAACTATTAATTCGATTGCTTTAGTATCCGGTTCAATTCAAACCGATCCGTGGTCATCCCTACGTATACGCAATAATTTGTTGGAGTAGTAAAATAAATAAAATGTTTACTTTAATGGTATAAATGTCAATTTAATATATCATGGGGAAAAAGCATCACTTTTAGAATAATTGAGGGGGCTAATGTGCTTACCTAAATAATTGAGGGGGAAAGAGTGCTATAAGTATATAACTCAGGGGCAAAAAGTGTCATTTTCCCTTAATTTAATAATAGTAGAATAGAATACTAATTATGCCAACTTTGATTGGGATGGGGTTCGAACCTAAGACCTTTCTTATTGAAATCAATGAGGAAGTTAACGGTGAACTAACAGAAATTAACGGAAAAGTTAATATTTAACGGAAAAGTTAACGGATAATCATATTCATTAAGGATAAATTAGGAAATCTTAAGGAAAAATTAAAATCTGATCAATCTGAGCTATTCATTTGATTAAAAAATTTGACCGCCATTTTTTCTACCCATTATAGGCCTAACTCTCTTGGGCTCTTATTAGTATAGTAGATATATATATATATATATATATATATATATATATATATATATATATATATATATATATATATATATATATATATATATATATATAGAATAAGGATCAAAGAACTCCGTCCAGGGCAGTTTGGGATATGATGGTTGTTTGCCAATGCCATGTGTGGTGGTCAGGAGGTTCACAACGAAGTGGATTTCATGGACTACAGCTGATCAGCATCGAAGTACCATGCGTGTAGCGCATGTACCCCCGGGTCTGGCTTCAGTATTAGATGATGGTGTGATTTGTCGTGTGGATACGGGCTTTCACGGTCCAAATCATGCACCGGCTTATGGTTTTATAGTGCAGGAGATGGATGGAACCTTTGTGGCGGCAGGGAATGGTCCTCTTATTTGCCCATATGACCCCCTCTTGGCGGAAGCAATGGCTTTGTGTGAGGCTTTATCATGGCTAAGGGATAATGGCTACTCAAGGATTTCAGTGTGCTCCGATAGTCTTGTTTTAGTTTCTAGTCTTAAACATGCAAGTTCGTTTCGTACTTATTTTGGTTATGTTTTACTAGCTTGCAATCGTTTGTTATCGTCTATGACTAGATCAACAGTAATTCATGTTCGTAGGGATGATTTACAGGCTGCCCATGTTATGGCTAAGCATGTAACTGCCTCTTTGTCATGTTCTCTTTGGAGGGATATTCCTCCTTCTTTTCTTGAGCCTGGAATGGCTAATGCAATATAAGTTTATTGGCTTTCAAAAAAAGAATAAGGATCAAATAAAAAAGTTTCATTATGTAAAAAATGCGGATAAGTTACAACCATAGATGCAATCCAAATTAACAGCCCAAATTGGATTTTAATTAAAAACGTGTGGTGGCATATTTGTAATTTTGAGAAAATAAGTTAGTTTGTGTTTTGTTTTCGAGTATACATTTGTCCTTCATCGAGTGCACATTTCCCTTCTTCAAGTGCATATAATTTTTCTTCTTCGAGTGCATCACTTTTATTTCACTACTTATTTTCTATTTTGAGTGCACATCTTTGTGCCTTTGAGTGCAAATTTTTTGACCTTCAAGTGCACGTTTTGTAGCCTTCAAGTGCATGGTTTCCTTTCTAAGAGTGCATAATTAATTTCTCATTTTTTCCTTCGGTGCAGATTTTTTGTCTTCAAGTGCACAGTTTTATGCGTTCAAGTGCATGTTTCTTTGCCTTCAAGTGCACGACTTCTGGGCAGTATTTGTTATATCTTGTGCATTATTTTCAAACATATAATTAAATTTCTAATGAAATTTGTGAGATTTACAAATGATTTGTATAGGTAATTGGTTTAATAACACTTAAGTTGAATAATCTCCCTTTTTTGTACCATAAATTGCATCAATTGCATATCTATTTGAATTCGAATGCAAATTTTTTTTACCTTCCTCCAAATGCACCAATCCTATTTTCGCACGGAAAGTCTCGTGGGTTATATATATATATATATATATAAAAGGTTTTTTTTTTTTTTTTTTTTTTTTTTGCTAAGAAGAGTGAATGCCCGGCCTTTATGCGGAGAAGGAGAAGAACGAGGTAGCGGAAGACACCTTCCGTGACTGCTACTATAGGCATCTATCAGATTTGGTCAATGTCTGGCTTGGCAGTTAGTTACTCCTATAGCAGGTGAAAATTGCATTCTTTGGTTGGAAAGACGGTTAATTAGTAGGCGTGGTGTTGTGAGTGCAGTGAAAAGAGGAGGCTTAATCCATGCAATTTGGATGGAACACAACAATATTATGCTGTCTGGAATTGAAGGGTTCTAATTTGTATCTACACCAACATCACTTTGGCATGTTTTTCAACGTTCCTGGAGCTCCTGGCATAAACATGCGGTACAGATGGACAGCCAGACACCTAACAGTATTTCCACAAGGACCACATTACCACAACAGCAGTAAATTAATAGTATATATATATAGTACAGTAGACTACTAGTAGAGTAGATTTAAAAAGATTTTATCATCAATGCCTATTTTATGGGTTATATAATATGTGTGTCTAACACACACATTTCCATTAACAAATTCATAATATAAGCAATTAAATATTCATTAGTACATCCATGCTAAATTGCTAGCAAAAGTATTCATAAACCAAAATGAATTAAAACAATTAATGGCTTTTAACATGGCAAATTATAGAGTGACTTTCTTATTAATTAGACCATCTCACAGATCATCCTTATCTGTGAGATGGGTCGGGTCAAGATGAAAATGTAATACTCCTGAAAAATGTAATACTAATCAAGAACAAAGTGTTTGTTAATTGTAAGGGGAGCTGCAATACTTTTAAAAAAGTGTAATACTTTTAAATCAAAATGTAAAAATATTATATTTTTCTTCAAAAACGTCATACTTTCTTGTATAAGTAACAAACACTTTCGACCTTTTTACTAACTGGAAAATTTCTCCATTTTTCTGAAAACCAGAAAACTAGAAAATTGAATAACAGAAAATAGAAAACATGTTTACTAGCACAGTTTTTATTTTGAAACATGAAACAATTTCCTTGCTAGTTTTTTAAAAAATTGGAAAACTATTAAAAATTATTTTGTAAATGAAAAACAGAATCATTTATCATCTATTTGGCTATACATCCCACATTCTCACCATGATCTACTTATTTAGGTAAAGATAGAAATTTTAAATTGGAAGAAATAAAAGTATATAGAGTTTAGGCAAAAGAAAGTATTCAGAGAAAGTTTATAAGCCTGGATTTAAGAGATAAATTTTCATTATTTATATTTGAGAAAAAAAAATTTACAAATGTGTTCTAATATAAGTGTCTATAAAAATTATAACTTTTTGAATACCAATGGGTACTTATAATGCGTGGATGCTGTGACTGTACTGCAGCGCCATCTTCTAATTCCCAGTAGGTCCTATATATAGCAGGTGAAAGACTGGTGAAAGATTATTAGCAGGCCTGCTGTGACTGCAGCGAAAAGAGGGCAAACACAGTCAATTGACAAAACACAAACACAAAAGAGAATACAAATGAGTTCTGATACAAGTGATATCCAACAAATCGATGCAGATGCAACTGATATCCAACAAATTGATGCAGATGCAAGTGATATCCAACAAATCAATTCATTCAATAGAATTGATGCAGATGCAACTGATATCCAACAAATCAAAAACGTTAAGGAATTCTCGAGGGAATTCTATTCTGAATCAAAGAAGCTATGGTATCTCGCGGCTCCAGCCATATGCACTCTTGTTTTCCAATACTCTATTAGTGCCATAACTCAGGTGTTTGCGGGCCATGTGGGAGACATTCAACTTGCAGCCGTGTCTGTGGAGAACAATCTTATTGCTGGCTTTGCTTTTGGGGTCTTGGTATGTATTACTAACATCCGGACAGCTAGCTATTAGTATATTTAAATTCATGTACTAACAAATTGGATTAATGTTAACAATGCATTTTAAAATTTCAGATTATTGAAGTACATCTTAATCATTAATAGAACTTTATATATGAGATTTGACTCAAGCATTTTTTGTTTAACATACATCAATTTTAATAGTTTTAATTTTCTATTACATATCAAACTTGGTTGCAGTATGGAATGGGAAGTGCACTAGAAACACTTTGTGGACAAGCGGTTGGAGCAAGGAAACTAGATATGCTTGGCATTTACATGCAAAGGTCATGGATTATTCTCGCGGTCACAGTCATACCATTGACATCAGTATACATCTTAACCACCCCAATCCTCAAACTCCTACGCCAAAATCCACAAATTGCGAAAGCCGCCGGGAGGTTTACATTGTGGATGATCCCAGAACTCTTCGCTTACGTGATTATTTTTCCAGTTCAGAAGTTCTTGCAATCACAGAGCAAGATCTTTGTGATGGCTAGTATTACGGTTGTGGCTTTCGTTGGGCACGTGGTGTTTAGCTGGCTGTTTATGCTCAAGTTGCATTGGGGGCTGCCGGCCGCGGCGGTGGTGCTGAATGCCACATGGTTGTTCATCATGGTGGCACAACTAGTTTACATTTTCTCAGGGGCTTGTGCTGATGCTTGGAATGGGTTTTCTCTGAAGGCCTTTGAGAATCTCAGGGGCTTTGTTCGCCTATCTCTTGCATCCGGAGTAATGTTTTGGTAAGTTTAATATTAATTTAGAGATTTGCTTTTCTGAGTGACGAGCTTAGGGAAATTCTTAGTCACTGTCCAAAGGTGTATATTGGATAAATTTTCGTCTTGTGACTCTAGCGGGTAAATAACGAACTACAAAAGAGAAACCAATTTAGATTGCCTAGAGCCGATTAGCTCAAACTAAGCAGACCAATAGACAGTTCCTGTTGAAAGTTGAAGTTGTAACCTTGTGGTTATCAAGTCAAGATTTTATTTTTTTGGTTTTATGTAGTAGGGGATCATGCCAATAAATTATACACCGTACCATTTGGTTTTAACAAATTATCATCCTTACTATATGTCTATATCTAGATAATTGGATATTTGAACAAAATTGTCTCTTTCAATCATATTTATAACGGCATTATGAAAAATAATTTATATTTAATATGTTTTCTAGGAAAGTAATAATGCACACCCCTCTTAAAATTTCCCTCCTTATTTTCCTTCTTGATGGCAGTATCTAATTAGTTAGTTTAGTATTTAATTAGATGCATGTAAGATCAAAACCAATTCATGATATATCCACATCATGGAGGGAAATTTTTAGAGAAAAAATTAGAGGGAAAAATATAATTTTTCAGAATTAAATGTTACTTAATACAATTTTTAATATGTTGAAGGTTTCCTAATCACAATATTTTGGGGATTTGTGCAGCTTAGAAATGTGGTACTTTGTGGCACTTATTCTTATTTCTGGATACACTAAAAATGCAGAAATTTCAGTTGATGCAACTTCTATATGGTGAGTTTTGTGTGTATTTCTTTTTCCCCTTTTCCTTTTTCCCATTTTAGAAGCATGCTTTCTTTTTTCCTCCCGTGTTTTAATGACAATGAGGTATTAATCAATGATGATATAAACAATGTTATATGTGATAGCGTGACATAAATAAATTATTTCAAGATAAAAACTAATCATTTAATAAATATTCAATAAATATAATGATTGTGAAATCATGTAAGCCAATGTAAATTTATGTATAGAATTTTTAATTTTATGTGCAAATAGTATTATACTAATGTAAGATGGTCACTTTGCAGCATCAATATATTGCAATGGACGATAATGGTGGGTATTGGATTCAATGCCGCAATAAGGTAATTGATCTACAACGTTGAAAATATATCATTTCTGTTATTATAAATAAAATGAATAATATGTTTCAAAAAAATTGAATGATGGAAATTTTATTTTTATTTTTGTAAATTTGATGATATTTATAAAAATTTCATTGTCTATTCTTGTTAGTTTATATCATTGTCTATTTATAAAAATTTCATTGTCAAAAAGTATTATATTTTTCATTAAAAAATCACGTTTTTCTCATACTTATTACCTTTTTTCTCATAAGTAACAATAAAATAATTTATCCATGATTAATATTATATTTTTTTATTGAGTTAATACCCAAAATCGTCCTCGACTATAGTGGTTATTCTCAATTTCGTCCTAAACAACTTTGGTGACCTAATATCGTTCCAGACTTTTGTGTTTCGCTCAATTTAGTCCTCCATTTGTTATTCCGTCAAATTGGTGTTAAATAAAGGGACAATTCAGTAATGTCAATATTGATCTCTCTTTACTGTCTACTTGTGAAGTGCGAAATTCCTCTTTCTTGTACGAATTACACCCAGAATTACTCCCGGACCTGCAAATCAAATTTTATATTCGCAGTTTTAGGAGTAATTCGAAAAAAAAAAAAAGGATTTCGCAGTTCATATGTCTATGAGTATTTAATGCAAAAAAAAAAAAAATGAATTTCTTAAATTTGACAAACTCGTTTAGGACTTGTGAAGTTGTGAGTCTTAGAGATTTAGGTATGTAAGGTATATGAAAACCAAACTTCTCCTACTTGTAATTTACTTTCAGACCCTAAGAGTAATTATTTTTATAAGAAAGAGGATACCTAATTACATCAAATGCCTCTACTAAGGCTCAAACATATCACCTCCCACATAGAAAAGCAATGTGATACCATTGGACTACAAAGTCCTTGGTTGAATTGTTGAAATGCACAAGTTGTGCACTACATGTGCACAAATTTTATATTACAAGTGCATAGTAGAGTAATATAAGTTAAAAAAAAAAATGTGTTGACATATTGGTAAAGTTTTTTAACTTTAAAGTGCATAAATTTTACATTACAAGTGCACAAGGTTATATTACGTGTGAAAAAAACGTTCTTTTTTTTTTAAAGCTGTTGATTTAGACAAATCAACGTCTCAAATTTGTCTGCAAGTTTTATCTGAGTGGCTCTTTTCACCTGATCTCAAGTTGGATCAAATGAGAACATGGTCATTTGTAAAAAATGAGGACTGATCTCAACTGTCCATTAGGATTTATTAATGGTTGAGAATTTTAGTAAAAAATAATGTTATCAGTTTTATAATTATTGAAAACTTTTAAAAGCAAGATTAATTTTATAATTATTACAAACTTGAAAGTTTAGTAATAAAAAGATCGCAGTCTTTGATTTCTCAATATGAAAGGTATAGATATGTTCACACTTTTTACAAAAGCAACACTTTCCATGTAAAGTGGTATAACTTCGCATCAATTATTACTCAAACTCTACATACTCCGTATTTATTAATGCATGCACAAATATTTGTACATTAATTATCATCAGATCATGTAAAAAGTAAAAGTAACTCGTTTTTTTTTTAATGCTACTAGCAAAAGTAAAAGTAAATAGGCTCGAACTCACAACCTTCCAAATGGAAGTCCAACCTAAATACCATTAGACCACAAAGTCCTGGTTCTCTTTCTTAACTTAAGTTTATTAAAACTATATTTAAAACAAAATACACACTCAACTACACATTGTCATCTAATATCTAATTATCTTTTCCATTTTATCATGCAAATATTAGGAAAATGTGTAAGTGTTGGACTGTAGTTAGCTTGTGCAAGTTACTGGATGATTTATTATATATGCATTTGACCTAGCCTTAATATGTGCAATAACGCAAACTGGTATGTGCATTTCACTGTGTTATACTTGCCGTTCTTTTTTGTGTTCGAAATCAATTTGTTGATTTTTTGGATACCTACCCTACATATAGAATAATTCCTTTAAAATAGGAGAGATTTGGCTGGCAATATTATCTCATTAATATAGAAGATAATAAAATTACTATATCACCCTTATTAAATTTATCCTAATTTAATTAGGGTTTAATATAATCTTAATCATTCATTTTCATTCATTGGATGATTAGGATGGAATCGATCTTATGATCATATATATATATACTAGTGTTTTTACGCGCATTGCGCGATTGGAATAATGCCCAATGTTTTTTTTTTTAAATAAATACTTTAAAGTATATCAAAACAAGATTATATTGGAATTGTTCATGCATAGATAATTGAATGTTAAATTTGCGTATTTAAATAGGCAATTTTAAGTTTACAAATGCAAGATAATATAGTCAAGATTGATTATAATTGTCAATAAAATAATTGTATAGGTATGGTTGAAACCAAATAAGGGATATAAGGGAGAGCAAATAAAAATTAGGGCATACAATATTAAATATATACTAAGAAGAGCTAACTGCTGATTGTCAAACAAAGATATTGCGAGATAGTTTCTCACTTCAATTTGTTGTGTGATTTGAATACTTTTTTTTTGTCAATAAATTTCCCAAATATTTAATATGGTTGGCTTAATTATATTTTTTAAAAACAATTATTATTATTATTATTATTATTATTATTATTATTATTATTATTATTATTATTATTATTATTATTATTATTATTATTATATACCCTTAGGTCATTTTACATGTTAATCTAAACAGCTAATTTTTTAAATATCTTTTTACCAACTGTTGATATAATTCGCTGGTCAAATTCGCTAATATAATCCGCTAGCGCTAACCGCTAACTCCTGATTGTCAAACAAGGACATTGCGAGGTAGTTCTCACTTTAATTTGTTGTGTGATTTGAATACTCTCTTTGTCAACAATCCCTAAGTAGTTAATATGATTGACTTTATTAATTGTATTTTTTTAATTTTTTCATTGGTATTAATAAAATACTTGGTAAATAAATATATATCATTATTTTGTATTATAACTTTTATATTTAATTAAAAAATAGTGCACAAAAAAGATAATAGACAATGAAGTGAATATAATCAATTGATGAATTTGAATGTAAAGAATTTTTACATTGGAGAAATATAAAGACAATATAACTAATAAAATTATTTCTCTTAATTAATTTATTGATAATGAATATTTTTTTTAATAAAGACACTGTAGGGACAATGTAGCGAATATAATCAATTGATGAATTTGAATGTAAAGAATTTTTATATTGGAGAAAAATAAATACAATATAACTAATGAAATTATTTCTCTTATTTAATTTATTGATAATGAATAATTTTTTTTTTTTTTTTGAATAAAGACATTGTAGACACATAATTCTAAATTAAAGAAATGCATATGTATTATTTTTTGTTGTAGCTACTAAATTATTATTTAATTTAAGGGAAAATGACACTTTTTCCCCTGTGTTATATACCTATAACATTTTTCCCCCTAAATTATTGAAGTGGCTGTTTTTTCCCCTGAAATGTTAAATGGACATATTTACCCTTAAACTAAATATTTAATTTATTTTTTTTCTCCAACAAATTATGACCATAATTTGGATCAAACCAAACAAACACTATAGCAACCAAACCGAAATATTCCAATTACAATTTAGAATCGAAATTCGATATTTAGAGTTTATTAAAATCGTGAACCGGATCGGACGGTTCATGTTCCGAACTGAAAACATAAAATACATTTATTGTTGAATTTATACTATTTTAAAATAAAAAATAAGATTTTAAAATAAAGATGGTTCAAAATCGCGAATCGAATCCGGAACCGCCGGTTCACGGTTCAAGATTCAATTTTTTTGATACATAATTTTAATAAATTGACATTTAAATATTGGGTTCTAGATTTGAATTATAACCGAAAACTATTAATTCGATTGCTTTAGTATCCGGTTCAATTCAAACCGATCCGTGGTCATCCCTACGTATACGCAATAATTTGTTGGAGTAGTAAAATAAATAAAATGTTTACTTTAATGGTATAAATGTCAATTTAATATATCATGGGGAAAAAGCATCACTTTTAGAATAATTGAGGGGGCTAATGTGCTTACCTAAATAATTGAGGGGGAAAGAGTGCTATAAGTATATAACTCAGGGGCAAAAAGTGTCATTTTCCCTTAATTTAATAATAGTAGAATAGAATACTAATTATGCCAACTTTGATTGGGATGGGGTTCGAACCTAAGACCTTTCTTATTGAAATCAATGAGGAAGTTAACGGTGAACTAACAGAAATTAACGGAAAAGTTAATATTTAACGGAAAAGTTAACGGATAATCATATTCATTAAGGATAAATTAGGAAATCTTAAGGAAAAATTAAAATCTGATCAATCTGAGCTATTCATTTGATTAAAAAATTTGACCGCCATTTTTTCTACCCATTATAGGCCTAACTCTCTTGGGCTCTTATTAGTATAGTAGATATATATATATATATATATATATATATATATATATATATATATATATATATATATATATATATATATATATATATATATATATATATAGAATAAGGATCAAAGAACTCCGTCCAGGGCAGTTTGGGATATGATGGTTGTTTGCCAATGCCATGTGTGGTGGTCAGGAGGTTCACAACGAAGTGGATTTCATGGACTACAGCTGATCAGCATCGAAGTACCATGCGTGTAGCGCATGTACCCCCGGGTCTGGCTTCAGTATTAGATGATGGTGTGATTTGTCGTGTGGATACGGGCTTTCACGGTCCAAATCATGCACCGGCTTATGGTTTTATAGTGCAGGAGATGGATGGAACCTTTGTGGCGGCAGGGAATGGTCCTCTTATTTGCCCATATGACCCCCTCTTGGCGGAAGCAATGGCTTTGTGTGAGGCTTTATCATGGCTAAGGGATAATGGCTACTCAAGGATTTCAGTGTGCTCCGATAGTCTTGTTTTAGTTTCTAGTCTTAAACATGCAAGTTCGTTTCGTACTTATTTTGGTTATGTTTTACTAGCTTGCAATCGTTTGTTATCGTCTATGACTAGATCAACAGTAATTCATGTTCGTAGGGATGATTTACAGGCTGCCCATGTTATGGCTAAGCATGTAACTGCCTCTTTGTCATGTTCTCTTTGGAGGGATATTCCTCCTTCTTTTCTTGAGCCTGGAATGGCTAATGCAATATAAGTTTATTGGCTTTCAAAAAAAGAATAAGGATCAAATAAAAAAGTTTCATTATGTAAAAAATGCGGATAAGTTACAACCATAGATGCAATCCAAATTAACAGCCCAAATTGGATTTTAATTAAAAACGTGTGGTGGCATATTTGTAATTTTGAGAAAATAAGTTAGTTTGTGTTTTGTTTTCGAGTATACATTTGTCCTTCATCGAGTGCACATTTCCCTTCTTCAAGTGCATATAATTTTTCTTCTTCGAGTGCATCACTTTTATTTCACTACTTATTTTCTATTTTGAGTGCACATCTTTGTGCCTTTGAGTGCAAATTTTTTGACCTTCAAGTGCACGTTTTGTAGCCTTCAAGTGCATGGTTTCCTTTCTAAGAGTGCATAATTAATTTCTCATTTTTTCCTTCGGTGCAGATTTTTTGTCTTCAAGTGCACAGTTTTATGCGTTCAAGTGCATGTTTCTTTGCCTTCAAGTGCACGACTTCTGGGCAGTATTTGTTATATCTTGTGCATTATTTTCAAACATATAATTAAATTTCTAATGAAATTTGTGAGATTTACAAATGATTTGTATAGGTAATTGGTTTAATAACACTTAAGTTGAATAATCTCCCTTTTTTGTACCATAAATTGCATCAATTGCATATCTATTTGAATTCGAATGCAAATTTTTTTTACCTTCCTCCAAATGCACCAATCCTATTTTCGCACGGAAAGTCTCGTGGGTTATATATATATATATATATATAAAAGGTTTTTTTTTTTTTTTTTTTTTTTTTTTGCTAAGAAGAGTGAATGCCCGGCCTTTATGCGGAGAAGGAGAAGAACGAGGTAGCGGAAGACACCTTCCGTGACTGCTACTATAGGCATCTATCAGATTTGGTCAATGTCTGGCTTGGCAGTTAGTTACTCCTATAGCAGGTGAAAATTGCATTCTTTGGTTGGAAAGACGGTTAATTAGTAGGCGTGGTGTTGTGAGTGCAGTGAAAAGAGGAGGCTTAATCCATGCAATTTGGATGGAACACAACAATATTATGCTGTCTGGAATTGAAGGGTTCTAATTTGTATCTACACCAACATCACTTTGGCATGTTTTTCAACGTTCCTGGAGCTCCTGGCATAAACATGCGGTACAGATGGACAGCCAGACACCTAACAGTATTTCCACAAGGACCACATTACCACAACAGCAGTAAATTAATAGTATATATATATAGTACAGTAGACTACTAGTAGAGTAGATTTAAAAAGATTTTATCATCAATGCCTATTTTATGGGTTATATAATATGTGTGTCTAACACACACATTTCCATTAACAAATTCATAATATAAGCAATTAAATATTCATTAGTACATCCATGCTAAATTGCTAGCAAAAGTATTCATAAACCAAAATGAATTAAAACAATTAATGGCTTTTAACATGGCAAATTATAGAGTGACTTTCTTATTAATTAGACCATCTCACAGATCATCCTTATCTGTGAGATGGGTCGGGTCAAGATGAAAATGTAATACTCCTGAAAAATGTAATACTAATCAAGAACAAAGTGTTTGTTAATTGTAAGGGGAGCTGCAATACTTTTAAAAAAGTGTAATACTTTTAAATCAAAATGTAAAAATATTATATTTTTCTTCAAAAACGTCATACTTTCTTGTATAAGTAACAAACACTTTCGACCTTTTTACTAACTGGAAAATTTCTCCATTTTTCTGAAAACCAGAAAACTAGAAAATTGAATAACAGAAAATAGAAAACATGTTTACTAGCACAGTTTTTATTTTGAAACATGAAACAATTTCCTTGCTAGTTTTTTAAAAAATTGGAAAACTATTAAAAATTATTTTGTAAATGAAAAACAGAATCATTTATCATCTATTTGGCTATACATCCCACATTCTCACCATGATCTACTTATTTAGGTAAAGATAGAAATTTTAAATTGGAAGAAATAAAAGTATATAGAGTTTAGGCAAAAGAAAGTATTCAGAGAAAGTTTATAAGCCTGGATTTAAGAGATAAATTTTCATTATTTATATTTGAGAAAAAAAAATTTACAAATGTGTTCTAATATAAGTGTCTATAAAAATTATAACTTTTTGAATACCAATGGGTACTTATAATGCGTGGATGCTGTGACTGTACTGCAGCGCCATCTTCTAATTCCCAGTAGGTCCTATATATAGCAGGTGAAAGACTGGTGAAAGATTATTAGCAGGCCTGCTGTGACTGCAGCGAAAAGAGGGCAAACACAGTCAATTGACAAAACACAAACACAAAAGAGAATACAAATGAGTTCTGATACAAGTGATATCCAACAAATCGATGCAGATGCAACTGATATCCAACAAATTGATGCAGATGCAAGTGATATCCAACAAATCAATTCATTCAATAGAATTGATGCAGATGCAACTGATATCCAACAAATCAAAAACGTTAAGGAATTCTCGAGGGAATTCTATTCTGAATCAAAGAAGCTATGGTATCTCGCGGCTCCAGCCATATGCACTCTTGTTTTCCAATACTCTATTAGTGCCATAACTCAGGTGTTTGCGGGCCATGTGGGAGACATTCAACTTGCAGCCGTGTCTGTGGAGAACAATCTTATTGCTGGCTTTGCTTTTGGGGTCTTGGTATGTATTACTAACATCCGGACAGCTAGCTATTAGTATATTTAAATTCATGTACTAACAAATTGGATTAATGTTAACAATGCATTTTAAAATTTCAGATTATTGAAGTACATCTTAATCATTAATAGAACTTTATATATGAGATTTGACTCAAGCATTTTTTGTTTAACATACATCAATTTTAATAGTTTTAATTTTCTATTACATATCAAACTTGGTTGCAGTATGGAATGGGAAGTGCACTAGAAACACTTTGTGGACAAGCGGTTGGAGCAAGGAAACTAGATATGCTTGGCATTTACATGCAAAGGTCATGGATTATTCTCGCGGTCACAGTCATACCATTGACATCAGTATACATCTTAACCACCCCAATCCTCAAACTCCTACGCCAAAATCCACAAATTGCGAAAGCCGCCGGGAGGTTTACATTGTGGATGATCCCAGAACTCTTCGCTTACGTGATTATTTTTCCAGTTCAGAAGTTCTTGCAATCACAGAGCAAGATCTTTGTGATGGCTAGTATTACGGTTGTGGCTTTCGTTGGGCACGTGGTGTTTAGCTGGCTGTTTATGCTCAAGTTGCATTGGGGGCTGCCGGCCGCGGCGGTGGTGCTGAATGCCACATGGTTGTTCATCATGGTGGCACAACTAGTTTACATTTTCTCAGGGGCTTGTGCTGATGCTTGGAATGGGTTTTCTCTGAAGGCCTTTGAGAATCTCAGGGGCTTTGTTCGCCTATCTCTTGCATCCGGAGTAATGTTTTGGTAAGTTTAATATTAATTTAGAGATTTGCTTTTCTGAGTGACGAGCTTAGGGAAATTCTTAGTCACTGTCCAAAGGTGTATATTGGATAAATTTTCGTCTTGTGACTCTAGCGGGTAAATAACGAACTACAAAAGAGAAACCAATTTAGATTGCCTAGAGCCGATTAGCTCAAACTAAGCAGACCAATAGACAGTTCCTGTTGAAAGTTGAAGTTGTAACCTTGTGGTTATCAAGTCAAGATTTTATTTTTTTGGTTTTATGTAGTAGGGGATCATGCCAATAAATTATACACCGTACCATTTGGTTTTAACAAATTATCATCCTTACTATATGTCTATATCTAGATAATTGGATATTTGAACAAAATTGTCTCTTTCAATCATATTTATAACGGCATTATGAAAAATAATTTATATTTAATATGTTTTCTAGGAAAGTAATAATGCACACCCCTCTTAAAATTTCCCTCCTTATTTTCCTTCTTGATGGCAGTATCTAATTAGTTAGTTTAGTATTTAATTAGATGCATGTAAGATCAAAACCAATTCATGATATATCCACATCATGGAGGGAAATTTTTAGAGAAAAAATTAGAGGGAAAAATATAATTTTTCAGAATTAAATGTTACTTAATACAATTTTTAATATGTTGAAGGTTTCCTAATCACAATATTTTGGGGATTTGTGCAGCTTAGAAATGTGGTACTTTGTGGCACTTATTCTTATTTCTGGATACACTAAAAATGCAGAAATTTCAGTTGATGCAACTTCTATATGGTGAGTTTTGTGTGTATTTCTTTTTCCCCTTTTCCTTTTTCCCATTTTAGAAGCATGCTTTCTTTTTTCCTCCCGTGTTTTAATGACAATGAGGTATTAATCAATGATGATATAAACAATGTTATATGTGATAGCGTGACATAAATAAATTATTTCAAGATAAAAACTAATCATTTAATAAATATTCAATAAATATAATGATTGTGAAATCATGTAAGCCAATGTAAATTTATGTATAGAATTTTTAATTTTATGTGCAAATAGTATTATACTAATGTAAGATGGTCACTTTGCAGCATCAATATATTGCAATGGACGATAATGGTGGGTATTGGATTCAATGCCGCAATAAGGTAATTGATCTACAACGTTGAAAATATATCATTTCTGTTATTATAAATAAAATGAATAATATGTTTCAAAAAAATTGAATGATGGAAATTTTATTTTTATTTTTGTAAATTTGATGATATTTATAAAAATTTCATTGTCTATTCTTGTTAGTTTATATCATTGTCTATTTATAAAAATTTCATTGTCAAAAAGTATTATATTTTTCATTAAAAAATCACGTTTTTCTCATACTTATTACCTTTTTTCTCATAAGTAACAATAAAATAATTTATCCATGATTAATATTATATTTTTTTATTGAGTTAATACCCAAAATCGTCCTCGACTATAGTGGTTATTCTCAATTTCGTCCTAAACAACTTTGGTGACCTAATATCGTTCCAGACTTTTGTGTTTCGCTCAATTTAGTCCTCCATTTGTTATTCCGTCAAATTGGTGTTAAATAAAGGGACAATTCAGTAATGTCAATATTGATCTCTCTTTACTGTCTACTTGTGAAGTGCGAAATTCCTCTTTCTTGTACGAATTACACCCAGAATTACTCCCGGACCTGCAAATCAAATTTTATATTCGCAGTTTTAGGAGTAATTCGAAAAAAAAAAAAGGATTTCGCAGTTCATATGTCTATGAGTAAAGAGATGCCAATATTAAAATTACTGAATTGTCTATTTATTTAACACCAAATGGACAGAATAACAAATGAGGGACTAAATTGAGCAAAAACACAAAAGTCTGGGACAAAATTGAGTGAAACACAAAAGTCTGGGACGATATTAGGTCACCAAAGTCGTTTAGGACGAAATTGAGAAAAACCACTATAGTCGAGGACGATTTTGGGTATTAACTCTTTTTTTATTATAAATAACTATTCAACCCTTAACTAATAAATATTATGAAATACATTTTAATTTAAAAGTATTACATTTTTTCTTATAGATAACAAACAATTTATTCTTATTAGTTTTAGATTTAACAGTATAAATATTGCATTTCTATTGTGACTTTGACACATCTCACATATATATAAAGATTGGAGATTGGTGAGAGAGGCTCAGAATAGACTCATTCTTAAATTAACATAATGTGTGCAGTGTGAGGGTGTCAAATGAGCTAGGCGCTTGCCATCCGAGAACCGCAAAATTTTCTGTAGTTGTAGCCACAACCACCTCGGTATTCATCGGAATCATCCTAGGACTCATTCCGGTCCTCCTTAGAAGCCATTATCCGCCATTATTTACGAAAAGCTCCTCAGTACAGCAGCTTGTATATGATCTCACACCATTGTTAGGACTTACCATTACCCTTAACAGCCTTCAGCCAACACTCTCTGGTTTGTGCAAAAATCTTCTCTTCTTTCATCGCCCGCACTATATTAATGTTGATGAAATATTTTGAGTTCCGTACGTTTCAAAATTGAATGCAGGGGTAGCCATTGGAGCAGGGTGGCAAAGCCATGTAGCATATGTGAACATTGTATGCTACTATTTGGTGGGTATTCCTATTGGTCTGATACTAGGCTTTGTCTTTAAAAAGGGTCTCAAGGTATGCTTTTGCTTTAATTTAATTTCTCCCTAAGGGTTTAGTTTCTCAAAACGTAAGATTACATACCTGGCCTAGCTAAGGACATCCCAATAGTAGTATTGGGTGAGTTTTTCGTAGATTTTTTAGTAATTTGAGAGAGAAGATTTGAGTTTTTTTAGAATGTGGGACTTGAGAGTTTTTAAATTTGTAGACTTATGATTAAATTTTAAAGTAAATAATAAAAGCAACAACAACAAAGGCAGTTGGTGCCCATTAAGCACAACAACACTCAATGGGGGTGTGCACTGCACATGCCCACTAGACACGTCAGCTTGTTGGCAACCATCATGACTTTTATTTTTCTTTTTTTTCTTTTCTTCTTCTCTTTCATTGTTGGAGTTGTAAAAACTCAACTATTGAGCTTGCTCTAAGTAATACTCTCTCCATTACATTTTATGTGTCGTGTTCGATCGGTTAACAAGGCTTGATTGGAGTTAATTTTAATTTAATTTTTCATGTGTGACCTCTAAAAGCTTGTTGTGAATGATTAATATATGTAGGGTATTTGGTATGGGATGGTGACCGGAAATGTGGTTCAGACCATTGCTGTGATAGTCATGGTCCTCAGAACTGACTGGAAGAAGGAGGTACAATTATATATATTATTGAAGCTCGGTGTTACTCTATCTTTGGATTTCGATCTCTACAGCCATGAGCTAGCTCACTCAACCTTTGGTTTATATATATATATATATATATATATATATATATATATATATATGCTTAAATGCATGCAGGCTTTGCTTGCTGGAGACAGAATAAAGAAATGGGGAGGCGATTCAGAATCACAACCAGTTGAAGCAGTTAGTGATGATGATTAATGTAACCGATGGTCTCACTTTTAAATTCTTTTAATGAGACTTCTTTAATTTAGTAAATTGAAGATTGTCACTTTTCAATTAGCTAGCTAGTAGTTGTCCTCCTTCAACAGAGTGAACATTTTGAGTGCTATTAAAATCTCTTGAAACGTGTTGCAATACTTCTTCACTTATATATAAAAAATGAATCCTACTATCATACATGCTTGTAATTTGATCTATCATTATTTTCTTAATATCCCCGGCCTACAATTTTTTTTAATCAATTTTTGAAACATAATAATAATAATAATAATAATAATAATAATAATACTAACATTTATTTTTATTTTAAAAAAATCAGCCCCACATGACCACATGTTAGAAAATTCAAATCGGTGTTCTAGAAAATTATTGGTCATTGCATAAACCTTGGTTTAATCAATTCCAAAATATTAGCAAACCTATTTATTTGAGGAATTATTTTTCAAATAAAAATTCCTACAACTTAAAATCAAATCAATCAAAAATAGCTTCCACCGAAATTCAAATTAGACACCTTGGGCTACCCTCATGCCTTTTTTTTTTATAAAGGTCACTTAAAACATGCCACATTTAGCTAGAACCATGTCTTGAAGTAAGGTTTGCAAAAAAAAAAAAAAAAAAAAAAAAAAAAAAAAAAAAAGAAACACCTGCACTATATGTGATGGAGAAAATTGATCTAGGATATGACCCAGGGTGTGTATTTATATGGATCAATAACCTCCACCAAGAAGTGATTGCAGGGAATCAATAAATAAACACAAAGAATTTAACGTGGAAACCAAAACGATGAAAACCACGGGCCTTTTTGGGCTAAGCCAAGCCGGATTTTTTTTTATTATATTTGTAGGTGTAGTACATGTACATAGGTAGGTAGGCCATGGCCATGAAATATTTGGAAGAAGAAAGAACCTATACGTAGAAGAGAGGTCCCCAGTTTGAGACTGGCGTGAATCTTTATATAATGTTATTTGTGCAGTTGTAACTTCTCGTAGCATTTCCTCTTTTCTTGCCATGATGACCTCTTCTCTTTGACTAATATATTGTTATTATTATTATAAAATAAAATAAAATAAAATAATAATAATAATAATAATAATATGGCATGCATATTATATTATTCCATTATGAGTCCCCACTTTCTTAACCGCAAGTATTTTTCGGTATAAGAAAGTAGAAAAACGGATGTTCACCGAATAAAAATGATAACACTCGAAGTGCATCCTTAACGAGCAGTGTAGTCTGGACTGCATGTTTGTGCGCAGAGCACCAAGGTACGTTTGTACGCAGAGTACCAAATTAAAGTATGTTTGTGCACGGAGCACCAAATTAAAGTATGTTTGTGCGTGGAGCATCAAATTAAAGTATGTTTGTGCGCGGAGCACCAAAGTTCTGACTTCCCTGCTCGGAGCATTGAAGATGATAATGAAACTCACGGTCAGGTACACGGAGTACCTAGGGGTTCATTACGGTCATCTCCTGTAATTGCCATATGACAAATGATTAGCGGGGCATGCCCTTAGTATTTGTTTAAATGTGAAATTAAAAGTGAAGATAGGTTCGGAAATCCCTATATCTCCCTTTAATTTAATGTGACTAACACCAAACTTATTCGTTGAAACGATAGTTGTAAGAGGTAGCGCAAAACTTACCCTATAATTTAGGTGGCAGCACAGGGCTTGCCTTGAAATACAATTGGTAGCACAGAGCGTACCATATCATATTATGTGAGTGGCAGCACGGAGCTTGCCAAATTATGATGTTGTTCGAATAAATTAGCGGTTGGCCACATCAAATTATTAAATTATTAAATAATAATAATAATCATAACAATAATAATATAAAGAAATCTAATAATTAGAGAAACTTATCTCGTAGTGACAGTTAAGGTTGTTCACTTGCTTGGCAGAGATGAGAGACGGTGAGAGAGGCTCTGACGAACGTAACTCGGACTAACTTCAACATAATAGGATTGTTGGGCAGACCAATGTATATGGAATATGCTAATAATAGGCTCTTCCATTAAATGGTGAGCAGGGGCAGACCCTGTACCACCGCTAAAGAATGCAAGGTTGAAGCCGGCCGCGCGCGATCGCAACCATAGATTGAATACTTTGTTCATGGCTAAGTGATGTCGGACCTCATTATAACATCACTAGAGAGAATCAATGCCGGCTCTGCCGACACTGGGGCCGAGCCACCCTCGAAAAATAATCACATGTTAGAGGTGCATGCATGCGTACCACCTTTATCTCCCTGTTGCCACTTGCCAGCATGGAAACATTTCTTCTAGATCAATATTGAGCATCCAGATAAGCGCTATGAATTAGCTTACAACGAAGTTGGCTTGTGAATGGGCAAAGGACAGCATTAAGATCAATTACGTTCCCCCTATACTAGTATATCAGAACCTCCCCAACTGACAAACTAAGGCCTGCGATGCTGTTCGCCGTTTCCTGCAGCCTTCTCATCTGTATCCTCAGCGACGGAACAATTTCGGAAGACACCATTTTCACTTCGTTCTGGTTTTCAAAGAACAGATTCGCCAATGTCACCAACGCATTCACTAGGAAGAGAATAATAATAAGAAACAAGAACATTGCCATCGTGGGCGTGTGTTCCTTAGCTTGATCTTCATAGCCATGGTAGTGGCTACTGCAATCAGTATTACTACATCCCAGAAAGCCATGTAAGCAGCGTGCCATCGTACTACTCACAAACAAACTGGTATCAAAAGCCTCTCTAAATCAAATTAAAGAATATAAGAGTTTGGACACAAGAGAAACGCCATAAAAGGGTCCGCCATTGTAAGGGCCTTGCCCCTCTCCAGTTTTGCAGCTAGCGTTTCTCTTTTCCTCTATATTCGCCAGCGGCGCGCCAATGGTGGCCGCCGGAATCTCCGTGGCGCTCATCAACAGATTCAGGAGCGGTTCTTCTTCCACTAAGCCAGCCCGGGGATGATCTACGTTTTGGTGGTAGTCGCAGTAACTCTCACCTTAAAGTCTGGGAGAGGTGAAGATCCTCCGAGAGGAATCGCAATCTTCCGGCCTGATATTTATCGTCTGGCGTGCGTCCTCGGGCACGGGAGATCGTGGGGCCGTTGGGATTTCTCGGGACTACCGGATGGGGTAGAGGTTCCAGTGAGCTCCTACGTAAAGCCAACAGGGGAGATTGGACCATCGTGGGAGCGAGTTATAAGTTCTGGAAAAGCCTTATGGAAAGATAGAGATATATTTTGACAATGGGACGCTGGAGGAGGTGAATGGGGAGAGACCTCGTACGACAAATAAAGCAATGTGATCGTTAATTGCGATAGTTGTGATAAACTGAAAGTAGAGAGCATGCTTGAGTGTGAACAGCCGCTCTCAACAAGAGAGCCATTGATGGAGAAAATTGATCCGGGATATGACCCAGGGTATGTATTTACACGGATCAATAATCTCCCTAAGAAAAATATATAAGTAATGTAAAGAGATGATTGCAGAGAAGTGAGAGAATCAATAATTGAATACAGGGATTTATAGTGGAAACCAAAACGGTGAAAACCACTAGCCTTTTGGGCTAAGCCAAGCCGAAATTCCTTTATTATATTCGAAGGTGTAGTACATGTATACAGGTAGGCCATGGCCATAGAACCAAAGAGAGAGTAGAATGTGTAGAAGAGAGGTTTCCAATTTGAGACTGGCGTGAATCTTTATATAATGTTATTTGTGCAGTTGTAACTTCCTGTAGCATTTCCTCTTTTCTTGCCATGATGACCTCTTCTCTTTGACTAATATATTGTTATTATATAATAATAATAATAATAATAATAATAATAATAATAATAATAATAATAATAATATGACATGCATATTATATTATTCCATCAACATGATTGATGAGATATTCATGGTCAAGTGAAACCACAATTAATTATAACCTAAAATCCTATTTGTATATTCTAGTATTTACATTCTAACTGCATCTTCAAATCTTCATTAAATTTTAGATGCGTGTTTATGCACAACAGTTCATAAATGAGCTAAAAAGTGAAGAACATCTTACTATATTTAGGAGTTCATACCTGCAGAGAGTCCCATAATGATAAAGTGTTAGGGAAGAATCCTTTGGCTCTTAATTCCTGCCAAGTTCATATTTTTGCATTTATGAAAATTTGTTGGCAGCATGTCTGTTGATGTGGCAGCTGGAATGGGCTGTAAAATTTGTAAATATTTGGCTCTTGCTGCACTCCTATGTATTACATTACCACTCTTATAATAATCTAAATATATTATCTGCATTCCATTTCATTTTTTTTTTCTCTGAATTTCATTTCTTAATTATTATTTAAAACTATACTCCGTATTTGGTTAGAGGTAGATTACAAAAACAAGTAGATCTTAATTAGATCTAATATTTGTTATTTAAATTTTCACCATTTTGCCAGCTTCATAATTTTGCAGTTGTGGAAATTTGTTGGCAGCATATCTTTTGATGTGGTTGGATTAGTTGATGAATGGGCTGCTCGCTTCTTTGAAGAGCTTGATTACGTTAATGAGGGAGAAAATGAGACATTTTTTGCAGAGATTTTGAATTCAAGGAAGGTTCTTATAACATATCTCTGAGAAACATATCTTTGTTAGTATCATGTACATCATCTTTATTGCCTTTCATTTTCTACAACTGCTTGATACATGTTTCTTCCATGTTGATTGTCATATGGGAATTTGATATGCACTCCAGATGGAAAGATAGCTATACTTGATTTTGGTAAGAGTTCACTCTATAAGAGTACATTATGGAGAGTTCACTCTATAAGAGTCATTCTAGGTTATACTTGGTTCTATATGAGATCCTTCCATGAGGATAATTTGCAGAAAATCTCATTCTACAGTAAATATAGCTTTTTGCTTTGAACTCCTGAGGTTTGGGAAAGTCTTGTTTTCCTTTGAAAAATTTCAATGTTCAAATTAGTAGGTCAACAACAAAATGGTGAAAATTTAAATAC